TTCAATTGAAAGTTACAATCTCCGTGTGTCTATTATACAAGGGAAAAACAAAAGTTTGATATTTTGATGACACGCCAATTTCAAACGAAAATTTTATAGGGTTTATTTTTAGTGCCAGTTATTATACTTAGGTTAGGTTAGATTGCTGGTGTTTGGGATCATGTTTGATCTCTCATTCGGTAGCCTTGGGCCCATTGCGATACCCCTGTATTATTTTACCAAACCTTCATCTCATTCTTTCTTTGCTTTATAACACTTCCAGCTCTTTGCAAAGTTTCCGATGTCACTTCTGCTGCTTTCTGTAGTCCATCCAAAAAACCTTGCTCTGAAGTTTTAAAGCGTCGTATTCCAGTGCCGGACAGTGGCACATCAGGTGCTCTATGGTTTCTTCTTCCATTCCGCTTTCTCTGCAGTCGTCCTCGTTGGAAATCTTCCATCTCACGAAATTTACTCCCATGGGGCACTTTCCAGTGATGACACCTAAGTTCTTTTTGGGTTAATAAATAAATTAATATGAAGAGTATTAACTACAGCTTTTCCGCCGTACTTTAGCATTTCTGTTGTTATTCCGTCTTTTCCAGGTGATTTGTTGTTTTTCATTTTTTCATGTTTTGCGAGTACGTCCGCTTCTTGGTTGCCATTTGGTAGGAAGGCTGTGGTGTGGCACCACCAAGCACAGAATGGCCCGCCTTGGCGCAGCCAGTACAATACTTCTCAGAAGTCCATCACAGTTTTCGATCTCACTGATTACGATTGCATGGTGATGCTTCTTAAAGCACCCAAGCTGTCAGAGTAGATCACCATATCTCCTGTTGATCTATCAACGATGTTCCCTCATGTACAACTGGCCGTTTCCTTTCTAGCGTAAACCTCCGCTTGTAGAACATTACAGCCATCCGATAGCCTTAAAGATTGTCGGATGTCTAGTTCCTCTGAGAAGATGCCTATACCTATGCTTCCTGAAGTTACGGAAGCATCGGTATAGACTGCTATCTCTTGAGTGTACATTGCTTGGTTGCTGTCCCGTCCTTACCTTGTCGGGATGCGAATCCTTATCTTTGCTCCAAAATCATGTTTGGTGAGCATATAGTCCTTTTTTTTGTCTAGCAGATGTGGACTCTTGTTCGCCATTATTTTTCCTATCACTGGCAATATCCTCTAGTGGCCGCAGTTGGTCTGGTTCCACAGATTGGATTCCCTTAATCTTAATTGTATAGAATCAGTTGTATCTACTTAAATTTACGTATTTTAGTTTTGATGCTGATTTAAATTTTTATATTTCTCTTTTGTTTGTTTATTTTGTTTATTTACTTTGTTTGTTTACTTTACCTTTGTCTACAAATTGTAAATTTTTTGACAATAAAGGCATTTATTTAGTTATTTAATTCTTAAATAAAGCATATGTACCAACTTTTTAAAATAATTCTACAAAATAAAAACTGCATCTCTCGAGATTCCACTCGATATACTTAGTTCCCAGACTGGCTCTTTTAAGCCGTGCACTATCAAATCATCCTCGAAAGCGCTCACTCTCTGCCCGCCTCGCAGTCAACTAAGCGTGCCCATATCGGAAAATCAGCTTGGAGAAATAAGTGAGCCGATTACGTTTGCCGACTATATTTCATATCCTTCGACTTGTGTCTGTCCCCCGATCGTTTCAATTCCATATTCCGTCTTAGCAGTTGCTCGAAAAAGCGGAGCTTTTAAAGGGAGCAATGTCGATGTTCGGTTATGTCAAATGTTTGGATTGATTGGATTTAGATTGGAATCCAGATTGGATTGACTTTTGAAATAGTTTTCCAATTATGCAATTACTTTGTCATCAAAGATACAGTAGAATGAAATATGGTTTTTAAATGGCAAAATTTGTCTCTCTTTTAAAGAAAAATTTGCAGAAGTAATTCACACTGGTGTTGATTAGTGGTAAGCGGGCGCCTTTAAAGAGATTATTTTTATCCTAGGGTCTCCCCAGTCGACCTATCACGGAAATTCATGTTTTGCTTTCATTCCCTTCAGACACCAGATATGTTTGTTTTGGCTAGAAAAAATATTCCACAAGCGTAGCGATTCGCTTTTGCAGCGACACGTTCCAAAGGGATTTTTACGGGGACTGGGCAAACTAATTAAGCTATAATTTTTATCTCTGTTAAGCTGGAGAATATTAGGTTGTTTTAGAGTTTTTAGTCCAGTGAGAGAGAAAAGCTTTTGATGTGATGATGAGAGAAGCTTTTGCTTTTTACAGTGTTCTGCTGTGTTGATTGTGAGAACGACTGAATGTATTTTGTTTTGACTAATTTGGTTCATTGTAATGGTTCACTACCAAGTTGTGTTTTAATTAGGTTAAGGAAACAGTAATTTGTTTTCCAAAAAGTAAGTCGGTTAAAATTGTATAAATAATTATTATTACTGTTTTAAATATATACCAACAGGCAGAAAAATAGACACCTTAATTTTTTTATGTGTAAAATATTATATTAAAAAATATTATTATTCTATATATTTTGTCTTAATGGGTTGATTTTGATGATTTTTTAAGGCGTTTTTGTGAATTATTTGTCTCCCTAGCTTCTTCTTCAATTATTAAAAGTTACGATCTCCGTGTCTCTATTATACAAGGGAAAAACGAAAGTTTGATATTTTGATGAAACGCCCCAGTGGAGTAACCACAGTTTAACAAAGTAAGTAATTTAACAACCACCTTGTTAATATTGTTATCTCATTAATCATTGGCTTATGATCGAAATTCATTAGTTAATATTTTGATGACACATGACACCAAATATGACATATTAACAGGGTTTCAAGAATATTTCTTCAAGGACCTAAATCCCTTTGAAGATAGCGTTCATTACCTAGATTTGATTTTATGGTTTCGGGACTACTTCAGAAACCTCAGAATGATTGCCTGAGGTATTAATATGTATCATGTATTAATACTTGAGCCAATTATGGGAAAAGTTATTATCGCTACTGTCAATTATTTAGGCACATTAAAATCATAATCTCATAGCAGGAATGCAAGAAATAGAGAAATTTGATATTGTCCAATGGGTTCCAATAACAACAAAACTGAGAGTACTAACATTAATTAATGTTCTAAAAGTGGTAAAAGTAGCTGAATTAGTTCCGAAGCTATAATCCGAAAACTGGTGTATAATCTTCATAGACAATTACCTGCCTAGGTAATTTTTATTTGAGTTTTACCATATTCGACGTATAATATCGAATCGATGATATCCCCCATGATTTTTATTATATTTGTAAATAAGTATTGATTAATTAAAACTCGACTGTTATTATTATACTTGAATATACAGATGAACGAAGCAACAAAATCCGACCTGTTTACTATACATGCAGCTTACTTTAACCAGTTTTTAATTGTTGCAAAGTCTAGTGTGCTGTCCGTTTGTAGTAGTAAATAACTCAAAACTTATGTGGCACCAGCTCTTTAGAGCTATATTACGTTATATTCTTAGCAGATCTGCGTAATATCCTTGGATTGGATTAGCTTACTTAAAAAGAGCTTGAGTCAAAACGGATCAAATCGCTACGATCAAATCCCTATTGTCTAAAGGTTTGAGAAAAATAATATACAGTCACTTAGGCACTATATCAGAACAAATAATGAATCAATTTTGCTCAGCCACGAATTGGGATTCAATCCTGTATTATTAACTCTATATGATTTATGAAATCCGCATTCAATAATATCTACCATACCTCTATCTGCTGTTGTTAAAATTATTAAGTGAAGAATGTAGGCCTCTTGAATGTAGGCCTCTTGCGCATATATTAACATACATAATAATAAGAACTCTATCTTTCCTACTATTTTAAGATAATCGTCTTTATACGTTTATAAAATATTATTTTTCCAGGAGAGAAATGAATCAAGTCAGAAATGAAGTATTCACGCATTAAGCAGCTATAGCCTGTTTCTGCTCGGTTTCTGAATATTCAGTTGCTTTCTCTCAGAAGTGAACTGGATCAAATCCATAAAATTTAAAGCTGTGTGCTATTTTAACACATGTGCTAAAGTTTAGGGCTAAAAATATATTTTTTTTTTTGATAAAATAGATGACAATGAAACAAGTCTGAACCATTTGTACCAAGTGACTCAGATTATCAAATCTGAAATGTATAATTCTATCGATTCTGAAAGTATAGTTTGATTTATCATTATTTTCACTATTACTACATCAATAAGTTAGGCTGTTTTTTTACAAATAGTTAGATATCTGACATGTTGTTAATCTTAATGAAACTGCACGAAGAAGAAAAATATCATCATTTCAAATAAACGTAACGTAACACACTATAAAAGACAACACATGAAAGGTTTTTTTTCCTTTATCCCGCCTATATACCATAATTTTTATAAAAATCGAATAAAAAACTATTAATAGACAATATTAAAATATAATAAAGCATTATGTCAAGTTTTCTTCTCCAGCTTGTTTTATTTTAATTAACATTAAAAAACTTTAACTCTCATTTTCTCCATAATTTCTAGGACTTTGCCAATTCACTTGTGAACCCTATTTAATATCAGTCGTTTTTATCTAAACTGTAATTAATGTTCCATATAAATGAACGTTAATATAAAATCCATATAAAGGAGAAATTTTCTCCTAGTAAACTAATCTCCTAGTAATCTTAATTTAAGAATCATAAACTATAAAAATAATGAAAAATTTTATTAAAATTAAAAGAAATATAAATAAACAAGAGCTGTGCCATATAAGACATTTTATTTGCTATAATTAGTTCCTATTTGATCGTTCCGTGTCGTCTGTCTTTGCCCCGCTTGAGTGTACGCTCGAAAGTGTGTCAACACTTTCCCTCGTACACCCCCACAGTCTGTGTAGTGTTGGACGAAATAAAATATATCCGCTGATGCGCTAAACAACAGAAATTTTAACCAAAAAAAATCTCGATTGGCGCGTTTTGCGATTGACGGTACAATTAACCCATGTGCTTCTTTTCTTTCAGGCTTTGAATCGTGTGCTCCTAGCAAGCAATCGCTCTATCCCATACATACATACAGTACAATACAATTCCTTCTCGTGTTGTTTGAATTTTTTAGTTGATTTTTGTCGACGTGCAGACACCATCGTCAACGTCGCCGTAGTTGTTGACAGTGTGTTTTAATTTTTCGTTTGTGTCGCTTTTATTTTCATTTATTTATTGTTGTGGTGAACCATGTGGCGGATGCAGTGGCCGTGTGTTTCGGCGACCAAAGAGGAAACGACAGTATAAATAGTAGGTTTGGACTATAATACTATGTAGATTGAGTAGTGTTTAAATTGTTTTCTGTTAAAACCATAATTGAATATTAATATACAGGGCGTTCGAAATTTCATGAGGTGATTTTTTGAAGAATGCGTTTTAAAACACATGTTTATAGGAAGTTTTTTCATATTGTTTAAGATTAGCAGTGCATTTTTTGAACACCTTGTATAATCAATTCCAAATTATTCCATAACTTACAGAGTTTATCATGAGCTATTATAATAAAACAATGTAAAATAAATATTACTGCTTTAAAAAAGGTTGTTTTTAAAACGATTTTTAATCATACATTTTCTTAAATGCTTTTTAATTTTGCAGATTTTAGCCTGTATTCGTTTTTTTCATCAGCGATTTTATATATTCGGCAATAATTTTCAGCAATAATTTATACAGGGTGAGTCTTAAATAAGTGCAAATATCTCCAAGGCTGGTAAATCTCGATAAAAGAAACATATTTTCTCTTTACCGTTTTTGAAATAAATCCAAAATAACCGAGTTATTTTGCTATAAAAAAATTCCAAAAAGAATATTTTATGCTAAAATTTTGAGAATCACTGGATCATATGGCAACATACTACCTATGTTGCCATATTATCAACACATTATGCATTTTAACTAAAATCTAAACAAATATTCCAAAAAATTCGAAATTTAAAAAAAATCGCAAAAAAAAACTCATAATCTTGTTTCTAGGGTCGAAATATATTACCCCTAAAAATATTAGCAGTTATTTAGGACCCACCCTGTATATATTTGGATATATCCATCATTGGACACATAAGAAATCCCATGCAAATTTTAAACTGTCCAAATGTCCCCTTTTGATGCTACAGCAAAATCAAAAAGATGTTTCTAAAAGTCTGCGTATGCAGAATTTAACAAAAACTGCATTTATTTTTAAATTAAAACTGAACAGGTAACAAAGCAAAACCAGGCAAATGTCAACATACCTTAAGTTAATTTGAATGTGGTAGACAACAGTATTGAAACTAAAATAATTTCGGACTTTCATTGTCTTTAATTATTTTACTTACACAATGTTTCATGTGTTTCAAGTGTGAACTGATCTAAATTCTAAAACTACCGAGCTTATACAGGGTGTTTCAAAAAATATGTACCATGCCTCGTGGGGAGATTCCTCACGTAAAAATAAGATTTATTTTTCATATCAACATAGGTCCGATTCTGCTTTGTTTCATAGCTACAGGGTGTTAAAGTCTGAATAATTTTTCGATTTATTATAACTTTCTTCCAAATACTTTTAGCTATTCGAATGAAATTTTAAGGGTAAAAGTTACTATAAGTGTTACATATTTTAATGCTAAAAAAGTATCGATAAATTTATCAGGGACATGCCTATAGGTTATCACTGAAATATTTTTCAAAAAAAACCTGTGCGCCACTGACTTTTTCTTTTGATATCAAAAATTATGTAGGTCGTTTAATGCCAATTAAAAGTTATCTCTTGATATTTTATCCAATTCGGCCTTCTTGATGAGATAAACGCAATTTTATTAACCACAGTTAATAAAATAAAAATAAAAATAAAATTAATAAATTATGTAATTTACCTAATTTATTGTTAAATATTATTACTATTAGTTATTATTAATTATAATAGTCCAAAAAATAATGGTATTTAAGATAATTACAAAAAACCTAATTTTAAAAATTTTTAACATCCTGCAACTATGCATTTCCATACCCATGTTTATAGGAACTTTTTTATATTTTTTTGATGAGGAATCAATGAGTACTTATATTAAATTTTTTAAAGGTTGTTATTAGATTTGGTTAAGGCATATTAATAAAATTGCGTTTATCTCATCAAGGAGGCCGAAATCGACAAAATATCAAGAGACAACTATAAATCGGAGTTAAACTGCTTATACTATTTCGCTAACACCAGAAAAAAAAGTCAGTGGCCTACATGATTTTGTTAGAAAAATATTCTATTGATAACCCATATGCACGGCCCTAGTGAATATGTCGACAGTTTTTTAGCTTTAAAATATGTCGCATTTATAGCAACTTTTACCCTCAAAATTTCATTCGAAACACTAAAAGTACTTGGAAGAAAATTATAATAAATCAAAAAAATATTAAGGCTTTAACACCCTGTAACTACGAAACAAACCAGAATCGGACCTATGTTAATATGAAAAATAAATCTTATTTTTACGTGAGTAATCTCCCCATGAGAGATGGCACATGTTTTTTGAAACACCCTGTATACGAGTACTAGAGCCCGTGAAGAAGTTGAGTACAGTCAAGCATGAGGTTGCCCACTGAGAATACCTGCATTGGAGCGTTTTATGAGTGGTTGCCATATTGTTGAAATTTCCATACTTGGATTGCTAAAGGTTTTTGTTATTGCTAAATATGAATACGGCCTCTTTAAATTTGCGCTTTTTCCAATGGGATGCATTGTGGACAACCCAGTCTTCCGACCATTGTATGTTGTGGTGCTTGGACCACACATAATCTGCAGTGCCCGACTTCATTGTTTCACTTCTTTGCGTATGTTTTTTATGTTTGTCAAGTGGTACATGTAGAAGACATTTTGTTTCTCCAATATACGACTCACTGCATTCCAGAGATATCTGGTAGATGCACTCTTTCTCTTGTTTTGATGATTCCGGTTTTGTGTTTGTTAGGATACTTCTTAGAGTAGTCCCAGATTTAAAACGGTTTTAATTTTATACTACCTAGCTATTCCTTTTTTTAGCTATTTCCTTTGACATATGGAATCGTCAAGAGAGAGAGGGAGCATCCTCCTCAGGGTGGCACACCAATGAGCCAGCCTTGTAATTGGATATAATATTGTCGAGTGATTTTGCAGAGTAACCATTCTGAAGCAAATCATATCCGTATATATCCGTATAAATAATTCAGCATACCCAGACCTTTGAAAAACTATTTACCACTTCGATGTAAAATTAACAGGGAATCACAATAGGGTTTTCAAAATTTGCATAGGATTTCCTATATTTCCACCGATGATGCACCACTAGGTATAATATAACTTTAATGAAATATCTAGTCCTATAGTAGATAAAAGTCCAACGGAAACCAAACAGAATTATATTAAAACTCAATCTATGTTATACCATGCGTCATTTGCAATAAGTTTTTTTTCGGATATGATTTTAGATTCAAGAGGTTTTACTTCTATCACAATAAAAATATCACTCTTCTGTTCATAATTTTTTTCTAACTATTATCTATCTTTTAAGGCTTCAGAACAAAAAATACAAATCCAGTTGCCAATACCTGAACAACGTCACCATCACTCAACCATCCAACAAAAATTCAACACTGCAATTAGAATCTACTACCAGCTGCTAAATATTCACACTACCATCGGAAGAGGGAAAGAGAGCCCATCAGCGAAACAAAAAAGATAAAGATAAAACACGATATGTGCCGTAATAACTTATGATAAAACTCCGTTCGTTATCTCTTATCTTATCAGTCGAGATTCACCGTTCGGCGCTCAGTGTGTCGCGTACAGGTGCTTGTAAACGCGAGTGAGTGTTAGTGTGTTGAATATCGTTTTTTTATAATCTCGGGATCAGTTTTGCTTGTGTTTTCGAACGACGACGAAAATATGTTGCACTCGTTGGACGCGCTAGCCGGTAAACTATCTCCAGGTGCCTCGTCCAATGCCCAGGGCAGTCCACAGCAGCAGCAGAACCTGCTGGACACCAACGCCAACAGGGTGCATCCCTACCTGAAGCAAGGCAACGCCGCCAGTTCGACAAGGTGAGTTCGGTGACGCATGCGTTTTTTTTCTCTTCTTTCGTGCATGGTTCCAAGGATTCCGTTATCGTAGATGATATAATAGATGTTTTTAATTTTGTTTATTAATATGCAAAGCTTGCAAAGCAAGAAATATTAATGGTTCAGAAGTATAAAGGCTAGTAAAACATATTTCGAAATTATTATTATCTAATGAATCTGACATTGATATATAAAGTGAACAATTGAAATATAGTGAAAAATATCATTGTGCATTTATAGAGACTACAAAACTAGATGACTACTCGATGAATTCGCGAGTATTATTGATTGAATTCTGTGACAGTGACCTCAATTTGATTTTTCATTTAGATTATTTACTAGTCAAAACTCCCAAAAGTATTTGGGCTAGTGAGTATTCAGTATTCAAGGGCCTTTAGTTCTGATTTATATGTTTCTTTTATGGTCTTTATTTATGTATTTTTGGCCAGGAACTGAATACAAGAAAAGGAAAAAGTCACAGTAAATATAATCAATTAAGTAATGATTGTATTGAAGGAAATAGTCTCACAAAATTATTTGTATATTTTGGAGTGAAAATACAGATATTGAATTCATTACTATCTTCAGTTGGTGGCCTTTAATATTTTAATTGCACTGAATAAAATGTTTTATAGAGAAAAACCAAATTGTTATTTGGGCGAAAGTTTAAAACGCCCAGTGGAATTAACAAACTCAGGAACTTAAAAAGACCTTTTCTCGATAGTGTGTTTTTTGAAGCAAAACTTAATTTACGCCTGATGGGGTAAAAATTCAAGGCCATGACACACCACGGCCTTGACACGTTATGACCTTGACCATGCTTTGACGCACGAGCTAGCGAGAAAAAAAGTGGTAAGGATTGCGCAAACACCAAAAGACATTTGATTTAAAGCTAAGAAGAGCATTATAAAAAAGTTGATACTATACCTGTTTACCAATATCCTCTAGTTGTGTGCTGGGAAGTAAATTTTCAAGTATATTTTTGTAGCTTCTGAATAACGGTCTAAATAAAGCATTTAACTCATTTGCTAGCTCAGAATTAGAATTATTAGAGTTAAGCAACTGGCATTTTCATTGGAGGACATCGTCATATTTATTTCCAACCAATAATAAACGAGAATATTCGTATAATTTAACAAAATTACTCTAAACCACTATACCTAAATACGAAGTTAAGTTAGTAGTAGTATATTGGTTTAATGGCCAGGGCTATCCCGCCGACGAAGTTAGGTTCAAAATTTTTTCTCTTCTTAAATAAATTTAAACCTTAACATTATTAGGCATTTGCATAAAAGTGTATATTTTGAGCAGTATATCACAAAATTTGCAAGGTATTAAGGAAACAAAGCAGGAAACAGAAAATGTACAGATTACAAAAATAAATTGAAAACAATGTTTCTATTAAAACAGCATTATATGTTACTTTTCAAACATGTCCTTGAAATCCTCCAATTTAATAGCTGTTAGTAAGATGTTTCACTTCAAATATGCGCACAGAGGGCACACAATTTTTTTTAATTAATCTTTATGGTTGTATCTTTATTGCAGATATTTGTTTTTTTTTTTAATTAGACAGTAACGAGTTACAGCAATTTTAGCATTGAAAGCATGCCTTTGCTTTTGGTCCTCATCAACACTTCATAGTTGTGTTGATATAGTGTGTATACTGTTTTCGTAATGTTACTGCCATTAAGAAGTGGGAAATGGTTTTACGTCCAGAACTTGGGGGTATCGACTACTGTTACTTTAGTTAAGCATGGTAAAAGCATCGACTTCTGGGCTCAAAATCAACCCTGTTAGTGTAACTACCACCAAAGACAGTGACATTAGAAAAACAATAACCACTAATTCGTGGATGGGATGATGAGGATAAAAAGAATAGTCATCCTTTTAATGTTAAACTTGCTGTAAATTGTTACTGCCTTCTTCAAAGGCTAATATCTCCAATAAAGATAAGGCTATTGATTGAGATGAGTCAAAAACAAATTATCGAGAAAAGGCACAGCTTAATTGTTTAATGTTTTATAAATTCCTTACTTGGTTAAACAATTCCACAATGTGTCAAATTTTCTTGGCAGTCTTACGGCAGTCGCCTATAGTAATTACATGGCAGTCATAGGCAGTCTTCTTTGCTATCATTGGCAGTCGCTTGGCAGTAAAATGATATTTTGGCAGTACATGCACATTTTTTAGCCAAGTGAGACACCCTAAACCTAGACTGAGATTAACTCAGGAAGCTAGTTATGAGTTTGTTATTTTTTTTTGTAAACACTAAAACTGCTGATAATAATTAGTCTCCTTTGGATTAAGGCAGCAAAGATTTTTACCCACTAAAAATATGAAATATAGAGATGAGATAAACTTTTAATTTTTATAAGTATGAAATCTTATCTATCTATACTAATATATAAAATCCTTAAATGATTGACATACTGATTAATCACGATCCTGCTCAAACCACTCAACGTAAGAAGCTCAATTTTGGCATACAGGTTGATTCTAGGGTGTAGAGGTTCGATAAGAAGGGATTTTTCGAAATTCCAGTTCCAAGAGGGTTAAACCACCCCTCAAATATTGCAATATTTTTTATTTCAAAAACGGTCAAGTTTCTGAAAAAACGCTTAAACACGTATATTTTATTTTGTTTTTTACATATTTTAGGATTTTTTAAAAATGTTTCGAAAAATCTGGTCATTGATTAATCACGATCCTGCTTAAACTGCTTGACTTTTAAAGCTGATTTTTGGCAAACGGATTGACTGTGGGGTGTAGAGGTTCGATAAGGAGGGGTTACTCGAATCTCAAATTACAAGAGGGTAAAACTATCCGTCAAATATTAAAATATTTTTTATTTAAAAACCGGTAACTTTTTCGGAAAAACTCTTCAACACGTATATTTTATTTTGTTGTTTTACATATTTTAAGATTTTTTATAAATTTATACAGGGTGTTTCATAAAATATGACCATTGAGTAATCACGATTCTGCTTAAACTGCTTGACGTTTAAAGCTGATTTTTGGTAAACGGATTGACTGTTGGGTGTAGAGGTTCGATAAGGAGGGGTTTCTCGAATCTCAAATTCCAAGAGAGTGAAAACGTCCCTCAAATATTACAATATTTGTTATTTAAGAAACGGTTAATCTTTCGGGAAAACGCTTGAACAAGCATAATTTATTTGGTTTTTTTACATATTTTGAAATTTTTTTAAAAATCATACAGTGTTCCTAATAGTTGGGTCATTTCTTAACCACGATTCTGCTTAAACTGCTTGACGTAAAAAGCTTATTTTTGGCAAACGGATTTTTCGAAAGTCAAATTCCAACGAGATGAAACTACCCCTCAAATATTACCAAAGTTATATAATAATATCGCCATATTGTTTTTTCTCATGCTGACATAAATGTGAGAAAGTTTTATCCAGTTTGTATGTTAATGGAAATTCTTGCTTTGCTTTATCATCACCATTACAAATGATTAATTCGATGCGAACGAAGTCGCTGGTAGACGCTAGTAGTTATATATGATCTTAATTTTTTTTAAATTTCACAAATTATTTAATATAATTATAGGAAAATATATTGATTATGATCTATTTTTAGCAATTAGAAAAATCTACTCAGTTAATCTTAATTTCTTAGTTAAATTTAAATTATGTGATATATTAAATTACGTGCATCGTAAAAATAATCTGTGTGTTTATTTTTAAAATAGAAAGATTTGCAAATTAATATACCCGTTAAGTCTGACATGTATTTTTCTCTTTTCTTTAAATCGTCGAAAACATTATTAACGACTACAAACCGAGGTTGCCATGCCAAAAATGATTGATGGCATACGTATTTGCATCGTTTCATTGATATAGAAGCGCCCATACAGTTCATTTTTACTTTGGTAATGATACTTTTTACTTTGTATACGTCTACTTGTTTGTTTTACTTTAAAGGGAATTATTTAAATTAATAATAATAATAATAAATGCCTTTATTGTCAAAAAAATTTACAATTTGTAGACAAAGGTAAAGTAAACAAACAAAGTAAACAAACAAGGTACACAAACAAAAAATAATACAAAACATTATACAAATAATATTGTCAGTCTTATTGTTTAAAATAAACATTTATAAATGTTTACAATGTCAAAGAATAAAAAAAATAAAAATAATATTCAAAAATATTTAGTATTGAGTAATAAAAAGGATTGGAAGGAAAAAACGCTTACTAAGCATGTAAAAGACCATACCATAACGTGGTATACTGATGCTTCCAAAATAAAAGCAGGGATAGGAGTATTTGGGCCGAAAATTAAATACTCCGAACCAATAGGCACCCATCCCAGTGTCCTTCAGGCAGAAATTTACGCTATCGAGAGATGTGTAAAATTTATCTTAGGTTTTTTTTTATTAGGTAAATTATCTTAGGAACTATCGAAAACAGGAAATCCATCCTATTCGATAGTCAAGCAGCACTAAACGCGATCAACTCAGTAACCGTCAATTCGAAGTTTGGTCAAATGATGCCTAGAGAAGCTCAACAAATTAGGCAAAGAAAATAAAGTCCTCCTACTCTGGGTGCCTGCTCACCAAGGGATAGAAGGCAATGAAGAAGCAAATGATCTAGCTAGAAAAGGAGCAAACACTCCACTAACTGGAGCAGAAACGTTCTGTTTTCCAAATGGGAATCAAAACAAAGTTATCACTCGCTCTCAAGAAAGGGGAAGACACAATAGGTCAGTAAGGTCGCGGTGATTAACTCCCTTCCTAAATATTCTACATTCTACATTCTACTAGACTTTTTGAAGAGGATAGATTATTGATTCTCCACTCGTAATGGTTGGAGATAGAATCACTTGCTACTCTGTAGTAGACACACTTGCTACTCTGCTGAATCACAACTGGTCAGTATGTTTGTTTCAGTAGATTTTAAATTTTGCCTAAAAAACGCAAACCCAATCCGGCAACTAGTATAATTTAACCTTATGAGA